GGGGGGTTATTGGCTATAGAGGACAGTCAATAGTTACAACCTGTTTTTATTTTGATAGTTTAATTTTTCAAACATGGGGTCTTTTGGGGAATAATGAATCTATTTAATCTATGTTGAAAAACATTTACTCCGGCAAATATTTATCTGTTTCCCGGGTGACATCGTCATGTTTTGTGTTGTAGCTATTGTGTAGCAGTTATGTATGGCTGCAAACGAAATGAAGCCTGGACACAATATATAGCATTTATAAATATATTTTTTATTATTGGTAGAGGAAAAATGGCACAGATCCAACCGATCATTATGAAACAATGCCTACAAGAAATCGATAACGCTCTATCATAACATCGTTAAATAACAAAGCCAAAATTTAGAAACCAGGGGGTATATATTGCCTCCTTCAACAAACACTTTTCAAGGTCTGCAGAACATTAAATAGTGAAACGTTTATTAGGCCCTGATTATTCAGGGGTAGTCTGAGAAGGATGAACTGTATTATTTAGTGCTCTCTGATTTTAGTCGAAATTCAGTCAACAATTTAATGCAGCTATTTTATGCATATTATCGGAGTTGCTAGACCAAGAAGGGACCTTTACAAAATATAGGCCTTATAACAATTTTCACCGGTAGCATAATTGAATTCAACCAACCTAAAGCTAATCTGAACGGAAAATGGACACTGCGTAAATAAATTCCATTCTAAGAAATCGAAAGCCTTTTTGAATTTTAAAAATAACTTGTTTCCTGGTTAAAGAATGTTGTGATCCACTACAGTATATCAGATAGGGTGCAAATTGATTCCACAATGAACCTTTCTTTCTTTAACAAATCCACTTTGATCATTATGAACCAAATTTGGAATAAAGTTGCAGACACTATGACTCTAGTTTTATGATTGACGTTTAACAGGAAGAGGACATGTCCTTCATTTAACCTTTTATTTAAAATATAAACAAAAAATTACCAATTATATTCCAGAATCTCAAATACCATTCGCAGGGGATTCCATCATTACCCGGAGATTTACTTTATTACATATTACTGGAAGGCTGAAATGCAAGTTACGATAGCGCATCGTCTTTCGTATGAGATTAAGCCGTTGGTCCCGTGTAGATTATGGCAGGTGTGCATGTTACAGAACGCAGTGCACTATTCGGAAAAAGTTCAGGAGATTGTCTTCCGACACCAGAAGGAGCCCACTTGAAATAAGTCTTCTGCAGACTTTCCTACGTTATCTTTGGTGTTTACACCGAGTAAATTCATTTGATTTTCTGGTGGGGGAGGGGGGTTACTGGCTATAGACGACAGTAAATAGTTACAACCTGGTTTTATTTTGGGGAATAATTAATCTATTTAATCTATGTTGAAAAATATTTACTTTGGCAAATATTTATCTGTTTCCCAGGTCATTTTTTGTGTTGCAGCTATTGCGTAGCAGTTACGTATGGCTGCAAACGAAATGAAGCCTGACTCAATATATTACATCTATAAATATATTTTTTGTTATTGACAGAGAAAAATTGGCACAGATACAACAGAGGAAACAATGCCTGCAAGAAATCGATAACGCTCTATCATAACATCGTTAAATAACAAAGCCAAAATTTAGAAACCAGTGGGTATATATTACCCCCTACAAACAAACACTTTTCAAGCTCTGCAGAACATTAAATAGCGAAACGTTTATTAGGCCCTGATTATTCTTGGGTAGTTGGAGAAGGATGAACTACATTATTTAGTGCTCTCTGATTTTAGTCGAAATTCAGTCAACAATTCAATGCAGTTATTTTATGCATATTATCGGAGTTGCTAGACCAAGAAGGGACCTTTACGAAATATAGGCCTTATAACAGGTTTTCACCGGTAGCATAATTGAATACAACCTAACCTAAGGCTAATCTGAACGGAACATGGCTTACACTGCGTAAGTAACAATTCTCGTCCCTAATTTCAAAATACATTAGCCGTTCTAGTCTGATAGCAATATACAAAAAAAATCTAGAAGCATTAGTAATTTAAAGACTAGATCAATAATATGACTAGTTTAATATATGTCATAAACTACTTTTTAAAATACAAATATTTTCAGTCTTTTATTCATTATTATGAATTTCAACCATTGTAAAATTATGTACTAGGCATATCAATTTTATATGAACCAGTAAAATCTTGAGCAGATTCAGTGTTCTTATTTTATTCAAATTTCAGACTAAAAAAAATATTTTGTTCTTGATTTACACACTTTTAAAAGACAGAAAAGTATTATACAGCAGTACATTACTGTACTGTATTATAAAGTGTATTTCATAGTCAGACCTATTGTGAATAAGGTACAGATAAGACCAAACGAATTTTACAATATTTGTTGGTTTTTCTAGTTAAAAAAAAAAATAAAAACCTCATTTGGCATTTTACCCCAACTTTAATTTTACCTTATTTTGTTTTAGCCTCAGGGTTAGGTGGCGGATTCAGCAATTTGAAATAAAGGGGACCCAGGGTGGGAATTTGACAGATGGAGGGTCTATACCTCCTCAGCCCCCACTCCCCAACAACGTTCTATTTGTGCAGAAGACAGACACAAATAGAAAATCTCTTGACCAGACACAAGCATGATCAGCGGTTGTGCTTTATTCATGTCATTATACTTTACTTCCTATCAGAATAGACATTTTAATTTAAATCAATTTATCTCTATATATAAATAATAATTAAAACACTGGAAATATTAGTGTATATTAAAGTTAATTTTAAAACATATTTATAACAAGGGTAAATTGCGCCTTTTATCAATTTTGAAATTTTCGCATTATAAATTGTTGATTATTATTATTATTTATTATCATATAACCGAGTAATACAATTTTATTTATAATTTAATAAATATACTATACGCTGTACTCTAGTAACATTTTTAAAACACTTTTTATTATCACAGTCACGATTTACACGACGCAATGCGTAAGCAGAGATGGGAGGAAGTATGGCGCATTATTCGAGCCCAACCAGAGCTTGTCAATGAAAAATCTGTACGTACTATATAATTTTACCCAATTTTAAACATTCATATTTAAATAATTATCTCAAAAATGTTCATTTTATAATAAACAAACAAAAGTTACGTCGTTTAATAACATGAAGTTCTACAGTAGATAGAAACGGACAAAATATATTTAACTGTTCACAATATTATAGGTCCTTTATTTTAGGTCTGATAAAAAAGGGTAAAACCAAGACAATGATATGCCTACCTTTAAGTAAATTGCCACCAGAAGAGATAATGGTAATATGAGGCTAGATTCGCTATTGTCACCACTTTTGGGACCAGTGTTTCCATGGTCTTTAGAGGTCTTAAGGCCTGTTTATACTTCAACGATAACGATAAAAAAAAAACTAAAAATCAATTGTTCATACAGAAAATAAAAGAAAAAAGAGAAGTTTTTACACTAGAAAGATCCGATAACGATTTATCAGTTATGCGATAAAAACATATTTTGACAAATCAAATCAGATGACGTCATAATCATGGAAAAACATTAAAATCGTAGTAGTAACAACGATTTTATCGTTTTACCATGATTATGACGTCATCTGATTTGATTTGTTAATTTTTTTTGTTATCGTATATACAATAAATCGTTCGAATCGTCCTAGTGTAAAAACTTCTCTTATTTCATTTGTTCTCTAAATGAACAATCGCTTTCTAGCTTTTTTTTTTATCGTTATCGTTATCGTTGAAGTATAAACAGGACTTTAGTCTTTAATTAGAAAAAAAAAATTATATTTTCAAAAATAAGAGTTATACATTCACTTTTGGCTGCAGAAAGATGGTCTTTAATTGAAGGGTCTTTAATTAGAAGGAGACCTGTAAATTCAAACTTTAAATTGGGTTATATATCAATACCAATGAGACGAGAAACAAATAAAAGACAAGTTATGACATTTGTTTTAAATAACAGATTAGAATGAAGGCTTTAAACCGTTGTTATTTTTTCGTAGGGAAGGATGACGTCATTATATTGGTTAGTGTCGTCCGACTACGCACCAGAAAGTCTTGTGTTGGAATTTTTAAAGATTGCAGCAAAAGAAGTTGTAGACGATGTAAACATGGTAAATTAAGGAGAATGGAGCATTCAATATATATATACGGAAAACGGATTGCTACATTTGTATTTGCTTTATTTAGGCTTATGTAATGGGATTTATATAGCGCACACATCCAGAAGCACTGCTTCAAGGCACTACTACTCCTACCCCAACCCCTGGTTATTGAATACAGAATCAACCATACACAACGTGCATCCGCTCAACTTTCTAGGGAGGATTCCCTAGAATTTAGTTACATATATTTTAGTACCGTATTTCAACATTCGTGATCGTATATGCCCTTTACAACCAAAATTACAATAAATCAAGTTAAATATCTTGTACCGAATTTATATACATATATATATGTTGATAATACTAAAAGCAATTCTGGTTTCATTTTCTCTATTTAATTGTTAATTATTATATTTTTCTTCTTTTCATTTTGTTGCTTGTTTTCGTTTTCTTTTTTTCCTATTTATATTTTTCCTTTCGATAGATAATCCTTTTTATACTTTTCATTGTTTTTTTTTCAATTTATTTTTCGTATTCCTTTCTATGTGAAATACATAAATTAACTTTGATAAAACTTACTATTATATCTGATTTAGGGTAAATGCTTTCAGTGACTAAAATACAATTGTTTTTTCATATGTACGACACCAATTTAAAAAAAAAATAAATATCAATCGTTTGATCCTATAAACAGCAACTTTCACATTTTTAAATCTTATTTTTAGGTCTAGAATTATTACAATGTGTATTTGAATATGTATATACCATTTTCGCGAAATTTTAAATGAAAATTACCTGGCAACTACCACTGGGGGACTTCCAAATGCCTACGCACTTGGCGCTACGTAGCTACCAGTGTGCGTGCGGCGTTCTATTTGGCACAATCTGGCTGCTCAGGGAGGCTAGGCAGGTGGAAGTTCTCCAGAGCAAGTCCAGAATGAGTTGTGAGATGTTGACAACGCTGTTTCAAAATATACCCGATAAATGATCTATATGTTTTGGTAAGTGTATATATATAGTCTTGTTCTAATGTTGTGTTGTATATCTTGTATGTTTTTGTTTCCTGTTTTTATATACTTAAATTGTAGTTTGGTGACAGTAACCTTCATCTATTGGCTCTGTATGGACGAGTAGATTCACTGCGTCGTGCTTTAGAAATTTCTACCACATGCGTGAATTACAAAAACCAGGTACACTGAAAATGCAGCACATTATTCTATAAAAATACGTAATGAAAATTAAAATCAACAAATTTTGTTATCTGTCAATAATATTGGTACACAGTTGTTATTGAAAATGTAGCGGCAGTAGCAGTAGCAGTTGTAGCAATATTTAGTTGGGAAACCCCTCCTTTAAACTCTGCAACAAATTAAGAAGTGGGATATAACAATTTTCAAATCTTTCGATTGTACAGATATTTTTTAATTTTTTCATAAATAAATACTGTAAATTAATTAAAGATTAAGATTCAAGATTCAATATTTCAAAATAAATATCAATAATAATTACATTATGGACAATTACAGATATAGAACAGGTCAATACCACTTGTTGATATTTGGTGCAATATTTATTCTTTTTACTTTAATGTTTTGATGTATTTCTGTATATTTATTTAGTGTTAATAAGTAATTTCAATAATGGCGTAAATATTTTGAATATTTGATATTTGTAATATTGTTTAAACAATTAAATTTTGTTGTTATATTTTTTGACGAAATTTGCAATTTATTTTATTTTTTACAATAATAATTTCAGACTTGTTTTGCTTTTTGGAATTTTCATTATACTAGACTAAATATAAAAATCACCCCAAATTAGTGGTGTTGTAAACACTACATCATAACCTACATCATAAGGACAATTTAATATCTGATATTCCATCCGTTAATTTTTCTTTAGCGAACGTAATTGACCACCAATGTTGTGCGACTATACTCATACGAGGTTTATGCACATTATAGGATGATGATGATGGTGAAGATGAGAATGATGATAGTACCTGTACCTAGACTATCAAATTTAGGGCTATGTGCCAAAAATCTGAGGTCTAAGATTCTGAATAATGAGTCAGATCTTAATTGTTTCGTGCACTGAAAATCTTCATTACATAAACCTTATTGTCACAGAATGAATTAATTTCTTTTGGAGTTATTATTACCTGTTACTAATTAGTACTAACACACCGTGTCTTGCATTTTGACAGGCGGGAAATACTCCACTTCACTACTTGATGTCAGCGAACCACCCATTCCTCGTTCACCGTGGTGTTGCAAAAGCACTATTAAAAGTCGGAGCCAATAGCCATATAAAGAACAAGGTATAAAGTGAATGTTACAATACGATACGATAATTGTATTCGTAAGTTAAAGGAAATCCATTGGTATATTTATGAATTGTTCCCAAAAATATTCCTGTTTGTGTTTAAAAATGACATAGCCAATCTGTGTACAACATGGGGTAGGGACGTTATTCCTCTAAGGTACCCTGCTCTAACCGAAATCGGTACATAGTCCACAAAGGTGACTATGTACTGTGTAGGTCGTGTACTACGTGTACTGTGAAGCTCTCTATGGATTAGAAGTTTTCTTAAACATTTTTCCGTCTCTGGAGCTTAATATTGTATGTTCTGATGATATATTTATTTCATAAAAATTTAAAACATAATCAACAATTAATGATGTACCAGTAAAAACTATTTACCCGAAAATAACCGTCACTAGATCTAAAAATCACTTGTCCAAATGAAATTGTTAATATTGTGTAATTATTTTAAAACAAATATTGGTGTTGATTAAGCCAAGAAAATAAAATCATCTTCCGGTAACTTTTCATTTTATTTACCTAGATCTAAATTAGATTTTTTCCCCTTGAGCCTGTATCTGTAGAGGAGGTATTTAATTTACTTACTTCTCTAGATAAAAATAAAAGTGACAACTTACCTGCTAAATTAATCTATACTGCTGCATTCCACATCCTTGGAATTTTTATTGATTTTTCTAAAGAGTTTGATACCATTAATCACGATATTTTAACTTCTAAACTGGAGGGCACTCGGAGAGTGCATACCTCCCCCCACATCGTAATTCTCCTCAGTATAAATTTCACACGCATACTGTGCCCATGGAGGAGAAAAAAAAAACAAACAAGAAAAAAACAAACAAGAAGACACCGTGGGATTGAGACGGGTTGGTGAAATCTGTCCAGAATACGGGCTGTATGGGGGCATATTTCGCCACACCTACTGGTGGGATTTGAATCCAGGGCCGGTAGTTTGGAAAACAATCTTCTAACAACTACAGCAAACTGTTTTTACATACATTACTTTGAAATTAATGGTCATATGTTTGTTTACACTTTACAGGCAAGCCCGTATAAGCATGCCCATATGGCAAACAGTTATACAAGTTTTTCAATCATTTTGTAATTGATCTTTGACCCTAACACTACAAAATGTACTCACTTCAGATCTTTGGTCATGGAACATTGTGGTCAAGTTTGAAGAGTTTCTGATAAAAACTTTTTTTAAAAAATATCGTTTTCTTGTTCATTGTGACCTTGACCTTTGACCCTTCAACGTTCAATCATCTTGAGATCTTTGGTCAATATTAATAAATGGAAATAAATAAACATGGGCAGGAACATAACCTCCTGCCAACTTCGTTGGTGGAGATAATTGAGGGATCGCCCTTTATCATTGTGTTGGATTTCTGACTATCTTAGTTTGTATCTTCTAATAATTTCAAATCCAATAAGTTAGTTATTAAATGCGGTGTTCCTCAGGGATCGGTACTGGGTGTTATTTTATTTATGATCTATATTAATGATCTACCAAATTTTACTGATTCTTTTGATTTTAAGCTGTTTGCCGATGATTCAAACTTATTAAAACCTTTAGTTGGTAATATTAGATCTTGACGAAGCCAATGTCTATTTCCAGAAGGTAGTAGACTTGTGCAATGCCAACAAATTAACAGTTGATACTGAAAAAACTAAATTTATCATTTTTCGTTAAAGAAATAAAAATAATAATATAAATGGCTCAATCGTGATCAAGGATAATCTAATTTCTAAAAACTGATTTAACCCTATATTAGTACAGTTTTGAACAATTTTCTCTTATTTAAATAACACAATAATGAATTGAATAAGAGACATTAGAAACGAGTATGAATTGTATTTAAACTACGGCATTGCTTTCCTAGATTAAGTTAACCATGACTTACAATGCTTTCATCTAATCTCATTTGACTTTACGGTATTGAAATAAGGGGAAGCACTACGAAACTTATTTAAAACCTCTTTTGGGTTACGCAAAAGAGGTTTGTATGTGCCAGATGCATGACTTTCTAAGTTTATTTCCGATCCGATTTTATAAAAGAGTTCCTCATGATTTAAACGATTATTTTGATATTACTGATCATAAATAGGCCTATAATACAAGACTTAACAATGATTTTAATTTAGCCATCCCACCATGTCAAACTAATTCTGGTCAACCACCATTAAAGCTTTGTTCTGTTATTTTGCATATTCAGTTGCTCCGTCTTTTGTTCATTATTTAAAAAAAAAATAAAATAATAGTAAATGTTTTCTCTTTTAGGTGACGTAGTTCCTGGAATAATTCTTTCAGGAGGTGCAGAAGCTGTAAAGGTTTTTAATGAAGAGTTAGAAACGGGAGAAATCACAGTAAACCACGCACGATTAATGATGACTGGTAAAAATGGTGTGGGAAAGTCGTGTCTCGTTAACACACTTCTTGATAAACGGTTAGTTTCTGATGTAAGCCTGTATCTCTCTTTAATTGTGTTTTCTAATTATTTCCTGTTTTATATCCTTTTTAATTCATGTAGGCCTATTATTTTTATCAGTGTTTAGAGTAATTGGGAATCGTGTCGAAAATGTATCAGTTGATTGTTAAAAATAATGTATTCTGTTTTACAAATCTTTGTTTCACTTCAAGATTATTGTTAGTTTGTTATTTTTGTTTATTTTTATTTTTTTTACAGATTTAATGAGGAGGAACAATCAACCGACGGCATAGTATTGACTACTGCTTTTCAAACCACGGACAATGAGTGTAGTAAATGGAAAGAGCAGAATGTGGATGGTATGACTACATACTTTGTTATGTCTTACATTGATTTTCGCGCCGCACCTTTAGGCTGTAACGATCAACAAGAGGAAATAGTAATTAAGAAAATGTAGGTAGCGGTAGCTTTTACTACGAAGAAATAGGAATTCCAAACTAAGCAGTGCGCATGCGCAGTTACCAAATCTCGTCCGTAAATTATTTATAAAAAAAAAACACAGTGAGCATGCGCTTGGAAATGCTAGACAGCCAGTAAGCATGTGCATTGAAAAAGTGACGTTAAATAGCCATGTCGAGCATTTAATAGCCATTACCAAAAAGAGGTCTTAGGAACCAAATAGCGGCTGCGAAGACGTCTTAAGAACCAAATAGCGGCTGCGAAGAGGGTATGATTATTAACAAATTGTCTTAGAAACCAAACAACGGCTGCGAAGAGGGTATGAAATAAAAACGGGAAAACTATATGGAATATAATAAGAACTCGAGAGGGTCGAAAGCCTCTATTTTGACTGTCTTAAAGCCAATTCATCATGATTGTGTTCGTCCTAGGGAATTGTAATTAAAGCCCCATTCCCGGCAAAATTTCAATTTTTAAGAAAAATCTAATTTTTGTATAATGGTATAAAGATTTATAAATATAATACGGAATTGCTAGTTTAACTGAATTTAGACATTCCTAAGAATGAAAAAAATGTAAAATAAGACTGAAATTTGATTTTTTGTGTTCCACACAAAAAATAAATGCGGATGCATTTTTCATGTTGATTTTGCGATAGGTTGTGAGAAGAAATATCGTAGGCGCCGAAAACATTAGCCTATCCAACGCTACTGGCTAGGCCTAGCCTTACCTCGATTTAGGTTCTGTTATCACACATAAAAACGGCCGACATGATATTTTCCGTTGCTAGTATTGACACTTGTGAAATATAATATTTCATAGGAATTATTTTAACTTTGTTAAAAAACTGATTCTGACTGAGATTTTGACACTTAAACAAACATACCTCAGCCTGTCCCCGATTTATCGTCGGGGACAGTCTTAAGCCGTCGTGAGAAATATTAAACACGTTTAATATTCTACTACGCGACTGCCCCCGACGCACTCCATCGCGTCTGCGTTCAACTCACACAGACCCGACGCGACAAATCGCGTCGGGCTGCGTCGGCCGACGCTGTCTGAGTTGGCCTTTACCGAACGACCGCATTGTGCGAGATGCGAAGTACAAAAAGTAATCTCATTAGAGAGGGCGCTCTTTATTGACTGTATAAAGTATACATAAAAGCGAGAGTATTCCAGTGGA